CACGGTCTCTCCTGCCCGGGCTGGCTTTGAACCGCGATCCTCAGATCTCAGCCTCCTGAGTAGCTAGGATTACAGGCGTGAGCCACCAGCGCCCGGCTCGGGACACTTTTTAAAAAAATTTTTTTTGGTGGTTCTGGGGTTTGAACTCAGCACCTGGTACTCTACTGCTTGAGCCACACTTCCAGTTCTTTTTGAGATCCTATCTTTAAAAAAATAAAGCTAACTGTTTTACCACACAGACCCTCTACCACTAAGGTAGTTAGTTACCTTGTGGCATAAGTTCCAGTGAATTGATACTCTGCAGCATCTTCACTGTTGTACACAAACGACAATGGCAACTGGACCAAGAGTCTGTCTCTTCCTTCACGTCCCATGGTGTCTTTAAGAATGACTGTTACAGTTTCATCATCATAAAACTGGGCATCTAAACAGCTGTAGTTGCTGGAAGTGAGATGCGTTTTGTTATATCAGAGATGATCATAACCACTGAAATACAGTATGTATAACATTATGCTGATACTAAGCAAAAACAAAATAATTTAAAACCGTAGGTGATATTCCCTGCAATGACAAAACACCTTATCAGTTTATACTTTTATATCAATTTTCACAAATATAACTAGTTATAACATAATCATGAGATCAAACAAAATGATCTGTGACATTTTATCACAGTTTTAGAAAACTCTGGACATAAATGGCTAGGCCTTAAGCCTGTGAAAATTTCATGAGTGATACCTTATATATAACTGAGTGAACAGAACTAACAAGAATCAAAGTAAAAGAAAATCTGCCCCCCTACAAGTGACAGAGCAGAGCCCCTTTGTTGACAGCACATCTGACATAGCACTGACTACACATACATCCCACATGCTTCTGTCCCAAATCAGGCTTGGGCGTTACCTTCTTCTGACTTTTTCAGTTGTAGCATAGGTGAAGCTCCCAAATTTCACAGCAATTAGTCCATTACTCACAGATCTTGAAGAAAGAAAGGAGAGAGGGGAATGAGACCCTATGGAACAACTACATAGCCAATAAATCTAAATGCCTGAACAAACATGACTGGCAATGTTAGCACACATATCTAATTCCCAAATCCCAGACCAACACTACCACTTCCACTCCAGAATACTATAACTTAAACATTTAGTCAGGCAAACCATCTTGGTTTAAAATCTTAATCACTAAGTAGCTAAAGGCCATAACTAAGGACAACTAACATCTTGAATTCAAAAATTCCCTTTAGTTGTGGTTCCTCAAAAGACACATAGAGCTCCCCTATGACCCAGCAATCACACTGCTGGGCATTTATCCAAATGACCACAAACAAGGCCATACTAAAGCTACCAGCACAACTAGGTTTATCACAGCATTATTCACCATAGCTAACATATGGAACCAACCCAGATGCCCTTCAGTAGATCAATGGATCAAGAAAATGTGATAAAGCTGGGTGCCAGTGGCTCACGCCCGTAACCCTAGCTACTCAGGAGGTTGAGATCTGAGGAACGCAGTTCAAAGCCAGTCCAGACAGGAAAGTCCGTGAGACTCTTATCCTGAATAAACCAGAAAACTGGAAGTGGCACTGTGGCTCAAGTGGTAGAGCACTTGCCTTGAGCTAAAGAGCTGAGGGACAGTGCCCAGGCATAGAGTTCAAGTCCCATGACCAACAAAAAAGAAAATGTGATACACACACATATATATACATACACATATATATACATACATATATATATGTATGTATGGAATTATAATCTTCCATCAGAAAGAATGACACTGCCCCATTTGTAAGGAAACGGAAAGACTTGGAAAAAAATCCTATCAAGTGAAGCCAGACCCCCCCCCAAAAAAAATAGGTCCCATGGTTTCCCTTATTTGCAATAATTAGTATACATCTAGGATAATCTTAACAGATGAGAAAAATAGCTCAAGAGCTATGTACATATGACCATATAAGATAATGCTAAGCAAAATGAATTCCAAGACATGGAAACAAGGTTTTTCTTTGTTGTTATTTTTAATGTACTATATGCTTTTTGTTTCTTTGGTGTGTTCTTCCCCCTATGGTTTATCCCCTATTGTCACTGTATTTGATTTTGGTACCCTGGTATTGTATATACGTTTATCTGAATTAGGGAAGGGAAAGAAGAACAGAATTGTGAGACAAAGGACAAGGGGGATCCAATGCAACAGCCATATTCACAAGTCAATATGTTGGAAATGATCTGTACAATTTGGCAAGGGGGAGGATTGGGGAGGGAAGGGAAAGGAGAAAAATGAGGGAGGGGATAACAAGTTAGACAAGAAATGTACCTATTATCTTACTTATTAACTGTAACCCCTCTGTACATCACCTTGACAATGAAAAAAAAATCCCTTTAGCCATGTGCTAGTGGCTCATGCCAGTAATCCCAGCTACTCAGATCTGAGTAGCTGAGATCTGAGGATCATCATTTGAAGCCAGCCCAGGCAGGGATCCAGGAGACTCCTATCTTCAATTAACTACCAAAAAGTCAAAAGTGGAACTGTGGTTCAAGTGGAAAAGCAATAGCCTTGAGCACAAAAGCTCAGGGACAATGCCCAAAGCCTAAGTTCATGCCCCAGACTGGCACACACAAATAAAACAGTACCTTCATAGTGAGACTTAAAACCATTTAAAATGCTAATGGAACCCTGAATACATTTGATTTTCAGAATGTTTACTTTGGAATCTCAAAAAGTCTCTGTGGGCAACATCTCTTATTTGATGGAAGATAATTAACCTAAAATTTTAAAAAAGCCTTTCTATAAAGCACTTACTAACACAGTTTTGAATTGCTAAGTGTTCCTTAGATATAACCCAGGTCTGCTGTCATTTTCCTAAACCTATTAAAAAAAAAACTTATATACTAGGCTATATACTAATATAAAGGTTAAAACTCCAGAACAAGAAGGGATCAAATAGCTTCTCAACTCAGCATTACCATCTCCCAGATGTGAGAACTGAGAATACTGAATGCAAACCTAAAGTCATGAGGCAGCTTCGCTGAACCCCGAAATGCTGGAAGGGAAGCTGAATGCTTATTATTATTACAAATATTAAGCTCTCATCTCTTCGGTTCAAACTTCAAAGGAATACTCACTGGGAAATATCAGTATGCCTTCTTAAGATACACATTTTATACAGCGAGTCTTCTAAAATAGTAAAAAGGAGATACTGTAGATTTGAACTTTTATTATTCCACCTAAGGAAAGAAAAGTAATGTATTTAGCTATTTAAGTTTAGAACAAAAACTACTGTTTACACAAGATGAGGAGACACACTTACAGAAAAGGAAATTTGAGCAATCTGCGTGCAGAGTCCTCACTAAAACAAAAGCAAAAAAAAAACATGAGAAAAATTCAAACTGGCTGCTAAATTATACTACTTAACAGGTAAAGAAGATTACCTTCTAGCATCTCTATATAACGGAATACAGATGGCTTGATTCATTGATTTTCCAATTACATCCTACAGAAAAACAAGATTTGAAAACATCAGCTAGTGGTGAGGAGCCTTCCTGGCCTGTGCTAAAGGACCAGTCCCTCCCTCTGGTCTCATGACATCAGTCACTGACAAGACACACCAGCTCTGGGACTAAGACTGTAATGAGATTGATGTGGGGGGCAAATAAAACATTAAACATACTTTACTAAAGATGATAATTTTTAAATTTATGTGAGCAGAAAATGAGGGGGGTTTACACTGTTCAAAAAGAAATGTACAGTATTCAGTACCTGATACCTGACCTATGTAACTGTAACCTCTCTGTACATCACCTTTATAATAATTTTTTTTTTTTGGTCGGTGGTGGGGTTTGAACTCTGGGCCTGGGCACTCTGTCCCTCAGCTCTTCAGCTCAAGACTAGTGCTCTACCACTTGAGCCACAGTGCCACTTCTGGTTTTCTAAGTGGTTTATTGGAGATAAGTCTCATGGCCTTTCCTGCCCTGGCTGGCTTTGAACTCGATCCTCAGATCTCAATCTCCTGAGTAGCTAGGATTACAGGCATGAGCCATAAGTGCCCACCTTATAATAATTTTTAAAATACATAAAGTAAAATAAATTTATATAAGGAATTAACTATGGATATAACCAAGCCATAAGAAACTGCCAATTTTGACAATCAAAACTAGTTGAATATCAGCATTTTTACAATTTATCCTAATATCTATGTTCATTTACATAGATGAGACATACTATACTCTTGTTCCCACACAAAGACATGCATTTCTTTCCAACTTACTGCTGGCATTTGCAAACACTGATCAATAATGGTCTCCATCCGCCTTTTCACAAAATGCAATGATTTTCGAGGATAATAAGGAAACAGCAAAGGGCTTTCTGGTTTCAGACAAAAATAGAAACAAAACAAAAACCATAGCAAACCAATGATTAGGAGAAAATAATCCAGTGTCAGAGGCAGCCCATAGTTTTTCATGGTGGAATTCTCATTATACTTTTGACATACCTTGTTAAAAAAATGACCAGAATCTCTCTTCAATCCAGCCCACTTAATACAACTACATTCGATTGGTCCTACTCAAGCTTAGTCCTACACCAAAGCTCAACAGTAAAACACCATTGGCTATTAGAAAAATGGAAGGCATTGGAAACCGTAAGCTATGTACTGAAACCTGTTCGTTCTTCTCAACTCTGCCACAATGTGATAGCAGCAGCACTCCAGGCTACTCTGCCGCTGCTAGCTTTCTTTTTTTGGGGTGGGGTGGGGTCCGGTCGTGGGGCCTGAACTCTGGGCCTGAGTGCTGTCCCTCAGCTCTTCAGCTCAAGGCTAGTGCTCTACCACTTGAGCCACAGCGCCACTTTCGGCTTTTTTTTTCTTTTTGCTTATGTGGTGCTGAGGAATCGAACCCAGGGCCTCAGGCATGCAAGGCAAGCGCTCTACCACTTGAGCCACAGTGCCACTTCTGGCTTTTTTTCTTTTTGCTTATGTGGTGCTGAGGATTGAACCCAGGGCCTCAGGCATGCAAGGCAAGCGCTCTACCACTGAGCCACCTTCCCAGCCCTAGCTTTCTTTTTTGCTGTTGTATTCAGTATGCTTTTCATTTTAAAATGTTCTTTTTATACATTATTACAATAGCCATAAGAATTCATCGCATTCTCCAACTTAAAAGTAAAAATACAAAGAGGCCTACTGGGCCTCTGGAAATGCCTGGGATGAAAAGAGCTGTGAATCAAGCTGTGACTCAGGCCCACCAGCTCAAATGGCTCTGAGACTGTCTCTCCCACACTCAGCACTTCCCTTCCCAGCTGTGTTAGGCAAAAAAAATCTTCATCATTTCAGCACTTTAAGGTTCAAGAGGTGACATACTGGATAATTACAGAAAAACAAGTTGCCTTTGTCCCCAGTTCCCAAAACTCAGCTCCTGAAACCCAGGAGATTTCCTGAGTAGTAAATGTGATGGCCAATTTTAATGTGGTCACTCTGGCAGGTTCCTGCAAAGCCTCAGGGTTGGGTGGGGTGGAAAGACTATGCCTTAACCAGAAGCTTATAACTTTCAGCTCTATCTGCCAGACTGCAGGAAAGGAATAGGGGCTTGGGGTTGAATTCTACCTCAGTGACTTACTCATTATAATGAAGCCTCCATCAAAAACCCAAGACAAACTGGGAGAGAGTAAGGGAAAGGGTGACCTGCCTTACCTAACCATAACCCTTCTTCTTCTTTTTTTTTTTTTTGGTGGTCATGGGGTCTGAACTGTGGGCCTGGGTGCTGTCCCTCAGCTCTTTAGCTCAAGGCTAGCGCTCTACCACTTGAGCCATAGAGCCACTTCCGGCTTTTTTTCTTATGTGGTGCTGAGGAATCAAACCCAGGGCCTCATGCATGCAAGGCAAGCCCTCTACCACTAAGCCAACTTCCCAGCCCACCATAACCCTTCTTTACTAACCTTCTTAATAATTAAAAAAAAGACACTGGGGAGGTTTGGATGGCTCCCTGGTTGATGTTGAGTGCTGGGAGGATCTAAAAGCTGTGGCCTCTCCCTCCATACCAAACCCTGAATGACGTTTTCCACAAACAGTCTGGAAAGGAAAGCTGAATGTGTTCCTGAGCATTGTACACCATTCTGGAAGCTATGCCAACTTAAGGGGGAAAGTTGTGGACATATGCCCCATAGTCAAGTCCCACAGAGGTGTGGGTAAGGGAACCCAGCTCTTGGGACTGATGTGATGTGAGGAGTCTAGCGGACTGAGCCCTCCTCCCCCTGGAGGCTAATGCTCACTGTGGGTGCTCAGTGTCATAACTGCAATGAATTGCATTGCAAGACCTTCAGCTGGTATCATAACTGGCTGGTGTCAGGAGGGAAAAAAATAATTTTGGTGTCAGCATAGTTAATGTACCACAGCACAGTTAATTTCAGGGTGTTTTCTATCTATCATGGTGACATCATACTCTACTTGTTAAAATGCTGTTCTCTTATCAAATAAAATGGACATGCCAAGTAAGCCTGAAGAAATTAGATAAATGTTGAGGCTACTCTTTAATCTCAAATACGTATAGACATGGCCAACATCTGCTTGGTTCATGAAGTACCTTTAAGATGGCTGCTGTTTTGGAGGAAGTCATACCACTGGTTTCCTTCCGTGTTAGGGGGTGACACAAGGTCATCATCTTCATCTTTCAAATACTAAAAATACAGTTAAAATTTTTTTTTAGTTAAGCAATGAGTCAGGCTCTAACCTGTATTTAACGTTATTGTAGTTAGTAAGTTATCTTGTTGTACTGCCAGGTTCTCTGAAGGTACATTATTTTTCTAAGTGAGGTGACAAATTCTAGACAACATGCAAATAACTTAAATGGTCAGATTACAGTAAGTGTAGAAACCAGAGTTTACATTTTGTGGGTCATTTTCAAGATATATTTTAACCTTACCTATCAGGGCTATATTTTAGTTTTACAAGTACCAACTGACAGTATGCTCTTCAATGGCAGTTCTCAGTGTAGCCCATTCCTGAGAGTGCTCAGCATGCTTCCACTGACTACAAGGTTAATGCCAGCTTTAGTGCCAAGGTGTCACTTGCCCTTTCACGGTGTCAACATTTGCACTGAAGGTGTGGAAGAAAGAACAGCTCGTACCTGCACCCCTCACCTAGTGGACCAAATTCTACTTGTAGTCTTGTGTTCTTTGTCACCTATTCAATTTATCCTGATAGAGCTATTAAATTGTTAATTCTCAACTCTTTTTTTTCTTTTGCTGGTTCTGGAGCTTGAACTCTGGGCCTGAGCGCTATCCCTCAGCTCTTCAGCTCAAGGCTAGTGCTCTACCACTTGAACCTTAGCGCCACTTCCAGCTTTTCCTGCTTATGTGGTACTGAGGAATTGAACCCAGGGCCTCATGCATGCAAGGCAAGCACTCACCAGTGAGCCACATTCCCAGCCCAATTCTCAACTCGAGGGCAGATCTTTTAACGTTTTTTGAGACAGAGTTGGGAGGCACACGGGTGATTTTACAACACATCAAAGCATGCAAAGTTGTCTTGAAGAAAGACTAAAACTGTCTTGTTTCAGTTGTAAAGGCAGACATTTTGTAAAAAATGACATTCCATTTTTACATGGAAACAAAACACTAGGGGACAAACTGATTCTTCATGCTTAGATGTTTGTGAGGTATTTTTAAATTTTTATGTATTTTATTAAGTAGATGCACAAAGGAGTCGCCATTGTTCAGCTTATGGACAAATATGTCTTGGTCAATGTTACCCCTTTGAACATGCATATTCATCCATCCCTCTACCCCCTCAAACTCTTACTTTTGGCAGGTATTTTCTTGAAAATAAAGTGAGTTTGAACAAAACAACCTGAAATATTTATTGCAAATAACATTTCAGCTAAACATGGTTGTAAAGGTCTGTCATTCTAGCACTTAGAAGAGGATAAGGCAGGAATATCACAAGTTTAAGGCCTATATAGCAAGACCCTGTCTCAAAAAAAAAAAAAAAAAGCAACTTCTAAGCAAAATTCAAAATATTGGCACCTGCATCTGCTACTGAGTGCCTGACAGCTTCACAGTAACTAAAGACTCTGATTAGAGTAGCCTGAAGTCACCTGATATTTAGATAATGTATAATGGAAGGCATCAGTATTTAAAGATCTGTACAACCCAGAGAACTAATATTTCTAAAAAGACCAAGTTATGATGCTATGAAAACAAGCATGAGTAAAAGTCCCTTTCAAAGTGCAAGGAAGATGGAGAGATTTTTTTTTTTTTTGGGTCCGGTTGTGGGGCCTGAACTCTGGGTCTGGGCGCTGTCCCTCAGCTCTTCAGCTCAAGGCTAGCGCTCTACCACTTGAGCCACAGCGCCACTTCCGGCTTTTTTCTTCTGGCTTATGTGGTGCTAAGGAATCAAACCCAGGGCCTCAGGCATGCAAGGCAAGCGCTCTACCACTGAGCCACCTTCCCAGCCCCGATGGAGAGATTTTTAATGAAACTGAGTATGAAGTGTCTACTAACCCAATTTTAGATTCCACATTAAAAACTTCCAAGAGACCAACACTTAGAAGGATTTTGTATGATATTAAAGAATATCCTCAGTTAAAGGACAAAACTAGTTCAGTACTTTTCCTTATATACATTGAGCAAATTAGCATATTAAAACAGAATAAACACATAGGTAGACATTAAAATTAGCTGTCTTATATTAAGCTGGACATCAAAGACAGCTGAGAAAATACACAACAATGCCAGTTATACTGGCATTATATTATTGTCCATAAACTTTAGATAATATGAATTAACAGCACAAGTCTTAAAATTCGTTCTTAAAAATCAAACCAAGTTCAATAGAAAGCCCATACCTGACCAACTTTTTCAACATTAAAGTATTTTCCTTTTCGATTATAAAGGTCTGGAGCCTAGAAAGAACAAACACAGTTATTTCTAAAAGCTCAAAATATTAAGAAAATAATCTTAAATTTAACAAACTCAATATGTATTTTATAAAACAGCTATCCATTGCATTTAGCCTTTTGCAGACTGTAAGATACATACAAACAGAAGTCTACATATAGACTTTATGTTTAGTCTTTTTAAAATTAGTCTTTTTTAAAAAGTAATTGCTAATTACTTTTTACCATGAACCATGTTTGCTGTGATTATTTTCAAAGTGGCTAAATTGTAAAAATAGCTATTTCTTACCTCATTGAAATGTTCAGTAAGAAATTCAGCAACAAATGTGATATCTTTCTGAGTCATCTATTAACAAAAAGGGGCAAAAAGAAAACAAATCACGGTAAAAAGTAAGCTTCCCAATAATTTGCCTGAACCCACAGTTTGGGCCTGGGTGCAGGTGAGTGGGCTGTGGGGAGCAAGGAGGAGGCTGGCTGTTCTCTGAGCTCGCTTTCAGGAAATGCTTCTTTCCACATCCTCACAGAAAGAAACTGCTCATTTCCAGGCTTCAACTTAGGTATAACATTTAAGTACTTATATTTCAAGGAAAATAAAAATGTGTTTAAGACTTAAGGCATAAGATATGGAACCAACCCAGATGCCCCTCAGTAGATGAGTGGATCAAGAAAATGTGGTATATGTGCACAATGGAATTCTATGCCTCCATCAGAAAGAATGATATTGCCCCATTTGTTAGGAAATGGAAAGACTTGGAAAAAATTATACTAAGTGAAGTAAACCAGGCCCAAAGAAACATAGATCCCATGGTTTCCCTTATTTGCAATAACTTGTATATGTCTGAGTCAAACAGAAAAGGTCAGATAAGGTGATGTTAGGAAAATGAACCCTAAGATACATATTCAAATGTTTTTTTCTTTCATACGATTGTTTCTAACACATTTATAAGATTATTTCTTTGTTGCTTTGTATGTCCCTCCCTCACGGTATAACCTCTGCTTTCACTGTATTTGATGCTGTTATAATTTGTAGAGGGGAAGGGAAAAAACAAATCATTTAAATAGGGATACAGGTGAACCCATTGCAACAATGAGATGTACAAGTCATATGTCGAAAACGAACTTTACAACTTTGGAAGGGGGGGAGGAGGGTTGGGTGGGAGGGTGGGGGGAGGTTGGGATGGGAAGGGGAAACAAAGGAGGAAGCTACAATGCTTGATAAGAAATGTACTCATTATTTTGCCCATGTAATTGTAACCCCTCGGTAGAGTATTTTCACAATTAAAAAAAAAAGACAAGGCAGTTAAAGAATATAAGGATGATATGTTTAAGAATTATAAAACCTCATTCAAACATGAAAATTGTAAATTCAAATATCCATAACAGTATTCTGCGAAATGAAAATATTAGGCAAACACTCAAATTTCTTTAGATAAAAAGCCTAATGTCCTGTTATCTAACACTGTAAGAGTACCAAGACCATGAGCAAGACTGAGCTCAATCAGGACAATACAAAGGAAATTACACAGGTGTCCCCTGTTATCTGAGAGATTGGTTCTAAGACCCCCACGGATAACACAATCCACAGGTGCTCAAGATATTTATATAAGAAAACACATCCTCCTGTTCACTTTAAATCCCTTTAGAGTGCTTGTAACACCTAATACAATGTAAATAACTATTGTTGTATTGTGTAAGGAATAGGAAAGAGAAAAACAAGTACATATGTTTGGAACAGATGTATTATTTTCAGAATATTTTTTCGTTGGTGGTTGGTTGAATCTACTGAGATGGAACCTGCTGACACGCAGGGCTGGCCATACGTACTTCTGTGCATACCTTATTCAGCTCAGGAAGCACATGGTCTTCGGTCATTCTCAACATGGCTGGAAATACAAAGTTAAAAATTATCTTTAAAGGAAACTAGAAATGTAATTTTTTATTACAGATATACCTCAAAGACCAAATGAGTTTTACTGAACTAAAATTTCCATTTGAACAGTTTCTTTTTACTACAAAAAACTTTCTCTTTGAACAATTAAACTAAAGAAGAATTAAAATCTGACTTAATCAGG